GTTATTTTAGTTCTTAATATTATGACTGTTCTTGGTTGAAAGAGAATGAATAATTACAACAACGTAAAATCTATTATATCTGATGAACAGTATGTACTGTAGTGTTCTAATTATGTCATAATTACAAGATGAACTACGCAAAATATGATAACCTTCATGTTACAAATTATAAAAAATGATTGTATCAAAAATATTATGTTCTGAAATCTGTAAAATTTCGATGCTAAACACTCATTGGGGTAAGGTGAAAAACCGGAAGAGAAGCATGATACTATTACTAGATACTATTATAAACTTGTACAATACGATACACAATGATAAAATTTTCTAGCATATTTAAGAAGTTATTTTAAGCAAAAAAGATTATACATACGTGTATTTGACACAATTTTTTTTTTAAATCTTGTCTCATATATTTCATATGTACTTTTACGTGAGGAATTACTTCCTATGCTTTATTACTTGCATGTAGAAATATTAGGTTCTTCGGAAAGTTCTGTGGGATTTCGTGGCCTGAATTTAAATAATCATAACTTTGCCAAAAGTTGACATATTTATGCAAAATAAAAATTATTACACATTTGCCAGCGTTTCATTAATTCATGTTTCACTAATTATGAATAATAATTCACCCCGTCACCAGGACTTTAAGGGAAAAAGAGAAACTGCATCTAACTATTAAAAATAACCTAAACAACAGAAAACACGTAAAAAAACATAATTAGCTTTCTTGAACAAACCAAATTCATAAAGAACATATAAACTAACTACAAGTAACTGCATACTAATAACCGACTACTCCATTTGTAAGCAAAGTATATAACTATGTAAACTATGTAATGCATGTACATATTAGCAAATTGCAAAGCGAATTATAAAACGTGTCGTTAATATTCCGCAGGATATGGGAAGAGCAAACGGGGGCACGAAGCATTCGTTGATTCGCTGATTATCGGACAGCTCAAGCGGAATCCACTTGTCCATTTTTTATTGTCCTGCTTATGTTCTGTGGGTGGCATAAATAAAGTGGTAAAACTTTGGCAAAGATGTATCGATGCTGTAATGGTTTTTATATCGAATAAATGTGTTAACTTTTTGCGGAGTTAGGATTATTTAAATTCAGACGTCGAACATTCCGAACGACCTAATAATTCAAATTTTAGGTAACGCGAAATTCTACATTGTCCTGGATTAAACTAAAGCTGGTAGCTTCGGTAAAATTATCCTCCGGTAACCTTAACGTGGTCAACCTTGAATATCTTCTTTTTCTCTATTTTGGTCAGGACTAATGTCTCGTGTAATTATATTCCGTTAAAAGCTTGCGTGGGTAAATCCTTAAATTCAGTTTCTCGCGACCCAGAGAAATAAGTTTACGGTGACGGCGACATGGTCAACATAAGTGCCGCAGCAACAGACTGCATTTATCCACGTAGTGGCATAACTAAGTAGCGGTGGTTCAACGTGGCGAATAGCTTTTTAACCATTTCTATCAGTCTAAAACGCTTGAGGTTCAGCTACTTACTGGAAAGGCTATGCCGCTATTCAGTCCAGAGGCCGCCGTGTGCCCAACTAAATCACCCTGGATTTAAGTGGATTCTACAAACTCCTCTTATGCCCCACTACGACGATGTATTGCTCTTGTAAGGTCGTTGCGGTGCCATTCTACCGCAACGCCGGATATACTCCTCTAAGAAATTCGTAGTTCTTTTTTTCTTTCTTTTTCTGTGATAAGGTTACTTGTGTGAAATTGTATAAACATCTCAATGATCGAGCAAAATCGCTCGTCGTTAAAACTTCGAAGGCAGATGTTTTCTTTCTAAAAAAGATACCAGCTCCTTACGTTGTAACGACTTCTATTTCCATTGTCAATTTGTAAATGTGGAATGCACTTTTAGTACGCGTTGAGTTGTGCTGTAACGTGTAACATAATCGATTGTACACAATGAACATTAATTTAGTGAAATAATAAATGGGAATAAGTTTACTCACAATGTTACGGAACTATCTAATTTTTGTAAATATAGGTTTGGAAATATTTGTTTCATTTCAATATGGTGTTCAATTACGCAAGAAGTTTATTGAACAAATAATTTTGTAAAATTTATGTTTCAATAATATTATACAGGGTGGGTTACGTAAGAAATGTCAGTTAATTATCGTCTCTGGTACGAGAAAATTTTTATACATAATTTAAATGGTTTCAAAGGGTGAATAAAAAGAAAAAAAATTGTTTGATGGAAAAATGAAAGGAAGTTTCACACTTGTTTTAAAATTATAGAAACCAAGGTCATATTATTATGCATACTTAAATGAACATCAATGGCTGCTACAACATACAGTAGAAAAAAATGTGTATTTGTGTAAAAAAACATAAATGACCTTAAAGAAAAAATGGCATTTGTAAAAAATTTTTCTTCGATTTTATTCACCCTTTAAACCCATTTAAATTACATATACAAATTTTCTCGCACCACCATACCTAGAGAAGATAATGAAGTGGCCTGTTTTACCTGGACCACTCTGTATATGTGCACAGAGTACTTCAGTTTTTTCCAATCAAACTTTGTCAGTATGTTCTATAGTCTAGTCTATATAGAAAAGTGTGCGTTTGAAAATAATTCAGAAAATAGTATACAATGAATAGATACATAAATTTCAGTTTACAAGAAAGATATAAACTAAAGCTGTTACGAAAGTTCGAATATTCGGTGTATTTGAATATCAGTAGAATTCGAATATCAATATTCACATAGTTAAACTATTCGGATAATTCGAATATCCCAAGTGTTTGCATTTCGGATTTTGCCGAATATTTCGTACATTTCAAATATTCGAATATTCTACTTGTTATGTCACATAATTAGCGTTAATATTATACTTATTATTAATGGGTAACGGGGCATCGACAAAACGAATATGAATTTCTCTATAAACTTTGGCAAGTAGTGTTTCAGTAATAGGAGAAGGGCACAAATGTTACAGTCCCTTAGAATCGTTTAGAGATTTCAGCTCGCCTCGAAATGGAGGCAATATTGCACGGACAACTGCACACGCATAGCGATACATCGATCATATCGCTTCTGATGAGCTACTGATTGCTATCGATGCCTTAGGAATAAATATATTTCAAATCAATAGCACTGAATGTCGTCTGCCTTCCTAAAATGATGTATTCGAATATTTAAAATATACGCAATATTCGGCACAATCTGAAATTATCTGAAATTAACCGAATTATTTGAATAGTTGGACTATTCGAAGTTTTACAGCCCTAATTTAAACAAGAATATATGTATACGAAATGTTTGCAGTAAAGTAATGCATTAAAAATCATTTGTCACTTACAAAGGACGTCGAGATCGGCGTGTATCAGATAGGTGATGTCTCATCCTAGTATTTCATTTAAAAAAAATATTTTTTAAAGTGTGTTATTTTAGCATGATAAATTGTATGTGACATCGTGATTTCAATATGTCATATAAAAATTCTAGCAACAAATTAAGTATTTAGTACGAGGAATTCACTTGCATATGTTATGCGCAACGGCAAATCTACAACGTGGACCGAGTGATATGGAGTGATACGAGTGATTTACGGTTAAAAGTCAAAATGATAAATTTCATACAGCAAACATAACAATCGCGTAACAATTTTAATTGAACGAGAGTAAAGTAATGTTTGCTTTAGAAACATTGTTTAAAAATTCATGGACATTCATCTTTCACGTCTACAGGGTGCGTCACGCAATTGGGACGGGTTATATCTCGAATTTAGATAAGAGATTTGATAAGAGATAAAATAAACTGTTGGGGAAAAAGTTGAAAGGTATTTATACTTATCAAAACTGTGAGATATCTCACGAAATATTGGTTTCTTAAACATTGTACCCTAATACTTTTTCAAGCGGAATGTTTCGAGGAGTTGAATGTTTCAAGAAATTGAAGTCGTAGGAAAATAGGCATTACTATATCATTCAATTTTTCCATTAACAGCTTTTTTCTATCTCCTATCAAATTCGAGATATAACTCGGCCCAGTTGCGTGATGCACCCTGTATACGTAAATCGAAGACGGATCTTGCACAGAATATGAGAAAATTGCAAATTCTTTAACGTTTTGTTGTTAAATAAAAAGAGAAAAAGATTTCTGTTTAGCCATAGCTTACACTTTAGTCGAAAGGTTACTAAAAATACTATTTTTTAATGTATTATTTAAACAAACATCTTTTTCTAGAAGTTGATTAGATGGAATAGTGAATTCATCGTAAGATGCACAATGTTCATATTTACAATTATTTTTTAATCTTAATAGTTTTCCAAAATATTGAAGCAAATGAATTGTTGTATTTTGAAGACTACTTTCATGCTTTCCCTCGTGGATATATTTCCAATTTTTTCTCATGCACTTACGTGTCATATAATTATGTAATTGAATAATTAATACTATAATTAATAATTTCATAATGAAATGAAATAAGACATTCAGACAAAATAAACAATATTTCCATTGCTGTGCTTTCCAATAATAGTAGAAACTAACGTGTCCTAGGAGCATTGTTAATGAAAACAACGAAATTGAGTTGCAATAGTTGTTCGCTGTTAACAATCTTAGATGTTGACTTTTAATTCGAACAACAAAATTAAGTTTGAACTTTCTTCGCGTAGAATAAAAGCAGATTTTCGAACTGCTCGGTGCATCTGTAGTTTTCTCATGAAAGTCATTTGATAAAAGTTGGCGCAATCGTGAACACGAAGTTTCAATTTATCCTTTCCAGTTGTCCCACTTTTTATTATTTATCCGTGTAGTGTTCATTCTTCATTTTTTTTTTTTTTTTGCTGCCAATGAGTTGTCCTTTTTACCGAACTTCCATTTTTCTTCGTCCTCTTTCTTAACGGGTTTTTGGAAAATATGACGTATTTGACAGTATGATTCGCTAATAGCTTCAAACATATTTTTGCGAATGTGTTGCTAAATGATTTAAGGGACGGAAATTTAACTCACATAAACAAAGCTGCAGAACTGCGGTGAAGAGGGCTGCGAGTTTCCGTGCTGCCATGAGAATGAACCACGTTTGCGATGACAGTTCGGTACACCAAATGGCGATCTGAAAGCAAACAAAGCGAGATTAGTGTTTCGTTCTTTTATCAAATTTTCCGTGGAATTCTTCTTGCACTCCCATTTGTTGTTTTGTTGTTTGCTAAAGGTACAACACTTGGAATATTAAAATATGAAGAGATTTGTTTAATTCGCTTTTAAAATCAGTCATTGTGAAAAATCGCAGCGGATACAAAATACGCTCTCACAAAATAATAATTCGGCTGTTGAGAGATCTAGACCAACAGAACACGGTTGATTCCTAGCCGAAGGAATAATGTTTCGCCCCTTCTAATCTCAGATTCGTGTATCATTTCCACCTCAATTTATGAACGATGTCCCTGAACTTTTCGATCACATCTTGCACAACTTCCAACCTGAGTTTAACCGCTTCCGCGTCTAAGCCACAGGTATTTAGGTAGCATAATTGGACGAGTGTTTCCAACACGTAAATTCGAGGTTTCTTCGAATTTCTTCCTCGTGTCTTTCTTCCTTTTCATAATCAACCGCTGTAAATGTATTACAAGACTCTTTTAAGGAGGATAATAACTGAACAGAAAGCAACGGAAATAATGAGATGAGAAAAGAAGGGTGGTGTTTTTAGAGCTGTCTCATTATTCGTTGTCAGATTTTAATCAGACCATTTTCTACTTAATTTTCAATGATTAATTTAAGTCAGTCTATTATCTCGGTAATTCGGTTTTGTGGAAGAAGCTGTTGCAAAAAAAGGAACGATGGATGTTTCGACAGTTCCTTTCCTTCGTAACGGCGGCAACTTAAACTGGAAGGTAATAAATTTGATCGGCCGAAATCGATCGATTTTCGGAACGAATTTTTATGAAAATCGTATTTACAATGAGAACTTTACATAACTTCTCCAAGGTTTAATGGAACATTACGAAGTTATAGAACGTTCGAGTGATGCGTGTTCTTTTTCTTTGACGTGCTCTAGTTTCAGGGAGTAAACTTATGCTTCAGAGTTTCTGTTCAGTTAAAGTGGAAAAGATGTGAGATTCCAGATCTAACTTAGATTTAATATATGTATGTAACCAGATATTATAAAAAAAGTTTAAAGATTGTGTATTACTGTGGGCATACGTTGGCCTTGATAAATGAAATTTATCAAGTCGAATTAACAGAATAGGAGAACAAATCATTTTCATTGAACAACGACAAAGATTCGGATTCTTATGTACGCGGAATAAATGCTTTTGCGACACGTTGGAAAAAGTGTGTCGAACATTGTGGAAATTATTTTAAATAGAAACGTGTAATTTCAGTGGAGTTATGTTTTTTCAAAATGAACGGCTAAAACCACGGATTTTCAGGATGACCTAATAGCATATGGCGAGAACAATTCGCTGTCTCTATTACAAATCAATGTCACAGGGCGGAATTGGAATGGTTGGAAATATGGAAGAACTTAAGTGACGGTTGGTTAGATAGCTGATTTTATTGTTCTTATGGTACGAACTTGTGATTGGAGTGTTATCTTGTTGGGATGGTAAATTCTCTGATTGGTTAAATCCATCTCGTAAAAAGTATCTATTTTTCCTGTGGAATATGGAATCGTTTTTGCATACACAATTGGTGCTATATGAGGATGTCTTTTTCGTTGAAATGTGTTAAAGTGTTGCATCCGATTGATCGGTTTCGAAAATGGTGGTAAAGAATACTGTATAATTGGTATTTCAGTGTATAATGAAACTATCGGTTGATAGGGTGTCGTATTTTTAAAATAGTTTTATTTCATACGTTTTAGGGTATTTACATAATATTAGAAGGACCGACCTGGTTAAAATGACCCAAGAGCAACTTTCGAAAAAAAGTGAATGTTCAATTTTTCCATCACATTTTGGTTACATGAAAATTCACTTTTGTAAAGTTGCTAATGAGTTATTTTGACCAGGGCGATCCTTCTGGTGTTGATATACCGATAAAGAAATTGTCTGTTGAATAAATCAAGTGAAATATACCATTAGCCTCGTTTAATGCTTACTTCAGCAAAGGCTTGAAATATTTTGATGTATAAAGGTAGTTAAAAAGCTGGAAGAAGAGTAAGGTGATAAGGTAAATAAAAGCAGGTAATAGAAAGGGAAAGAAGACGGAGGGCGAGGAGCTGGAAAGGTGTGATTGATTTATGGTAAAAAGAAGCCGGGAAGTGCGGTAAGTGGGTGATTTTTCAATGAGACTGGAGAAGCGAGTGAATTCTCATAGGAAAAGGGAATTTTGAGCGGTTCGTGCTCGCCTGGACGATGTATCAAAAGCCATGGTTGCCTGTCATACGTGTCTTAGTCACCCTTCGGTGATTTTACAGGCATTTCGATACTTGACCAACGAAAAAAAGGGTGCAAGCGAGAAAGAGAGCAACGATGAAACACTAACTGCAAGTTATGACTTTCTTCTTGATCCTCTTGCCGCAGCTTTCCACTGCCTTTATGAATGTATGCATGAGATACGAACTTTACGCTTCATGCATTGAACGCAGTGGTGATAAGGAGTTGCCGGAGAAACTGTATATCGCACAGTGCATGAAATCGTTGTCATGGATATATACGTTTAATCGGCTAAATGTCATTTAATCAGCTGTGTATGTGTACATTGTACGATAAAATATACGCTTCTAGCCCATTTACGTATTGGCACTTCAATGCGAAGGACAATATACGTATGTACCATTGCAATTTGCAGATGAACTTGACTATATCAAAATAAATTTAACAGTTACGTAAGGTGCAAGCAGTAAGGATACTATGGAACAGTTTACTTCCAAAACGTATTAAATCCAAATATCTGTTTTAAATCTGAAGCTAAGAAAATCGCAATTTCTTTGTAATTGATTAAAACGTATCTCTTGCAATGAAATATGTTAGTATTTGAAAATTATAAACTGAAAATAAATTATATATTAGAGATTGAAATAATATATTGTATTAATCTTTTTAAATTTCTGAATTCATAAACAATTCTTACAAATAACAGTTAGCAAAAATCATTGCACAGAAGTGTGCAAGATATTCGGCAACAGATAAAAGGGGCGATTACAGAATACAAAATAAGACGAAAATTGAAAATAAAAATAGATCGAATTCGGTTTCACTTTTTAGTTAAACATAATTAAAATTAACCTAGGGCCTGGCAATCGGCTCAACATCAATGAATGTAAGACAGCTTAGAGGGATTCGATTTCAATGGTCCTTAAAACAGCTTACCTCGTAAAGAGCCAAGTACATACTTAAGTTGTTGGGCCACTTCTGGGAGAAAATTTAAGGGGTGATTCTGGAAGCCGAAACAATATGAAAATCAGGAATAAAAAAATTGAGTTTGAGGCTTCGTTTTTTAGTTATTAACGTTTAAAGATATCCCCGTAGCCGAGCAAACCTTCCTACACCAACGAATATAGGGCACGCGAAAACCAACGACACATGACCGGCACCTTACCTCGTACAAGTCGTAGAGAAGGAGACAGTAACATTCGGCACAGTAAACGGCATTACCAACTTCTGCTGCAGTACAGTTTGCTTCACCACGACACAGGTGCATTTTTGAAAGTTCTTTAAATGTGTATTCCATTGTGTACTGCAAGCACAACATACACTATGCACAAAACAAACATAATACAGGTAAACCACTGAAAAACAATCATTGTATATTACAATATTCACATTCACACGCGCACGCACGAAATGAAAACTAAAAAGAACTGAAGAAAAATAAATTAAAATTGCATTAAAAGTACACTAAAACGTAGTAAATTAAATTCAACTGATTATAGCAAATAAAACCAATTAACTTATTACTTTCTAACTGTAAAGTAATGTATAATTTGAAGAAATAGATAAAAATAAGTTCGCTTATCGCATCGCTATTGAATAGTTTCACTTTTGTTCTCGAAATTATTTTGTCTTTCTAAAGCTTCCACCGTTAACATTTCAACGTTCCTTAGACACATCTAGTGTACACCGTCTCTACTTTCTCTGTTGTCGTCATATTCTTGCTTAAAAGTGTGCTTCCAGATATTGAGATTATTAGTGCTAGATTTATTATGCATTTTTGTTCTTAACAGATTTTTTCCTGTTATCGCTAAGTTTAAAGTTTAAAGTTGGCGGTAAGGTTGGTGAGATAAGTATAGTGAAGTCGTAAATTAAAGCATCAAGTGCAGCTTGATTTAACCGCAGTCAGGACCGCACACGACATTCTGTTTTAAGGTTCGTACAATTGAAGGGATAAAAATTGAATTTAAAATTTTTAAAACGCGGAACTGATACAGAATGAAGCAAGCAACATCAATGGTAATCATTGGAAGAAAGTAGCGAAGCAGAATACAGGTGAAAGGGTTCTTATCTTCTTATATTTCTCTCAATTTCCTTGTTAGAACATTCGAAACATGTTTATTTTGGCTCCTGACCGATTTTATGAGCTCACTATATTTGTTCCACCGACTATACTCTGCACAGCTAAAAAGAGGCCCAGGGAGACGGCATAGGGGCCAGAAGCGATACTTCACTCGCGCTGTCTAAATCTCACGTCACGCAATTTTAAATGATCCGATTCGTGGATATTATCGCGTCGGCCAGTAATGGCAATACGTGTGCCCTATTTCTGTGATTGTGTTAAAAAAGGTGGGTTTATGGGGATATGGCCCAATCAGACCCGCATTCTTTTCTAGCTTTGCACAGTACATTCGCACGCACAGGCAACCAGAAGGGACGTGATGATACCCAAGCGAGGAAATCCCCAGAATACAGACGTGTCACGTAAATGCACGGAGAAAAGCACAAATCATCTTTTCCTAACGTATCTATATTAGAACGAAAGTGCATTGAGCTTTTCAAGTAACTACAATGCTTGTGTGTAAAATACCGTGGTACATACGTAATGCATAAAATTTATGACGAGTACAACGAGTAGAGTTGTTTGCATTACCTGCGTGAACCCGCGATTATTGTTTTGCCGTGTTAA